TTAAAAGTTTTTAAAAAATTGAAGCTGAATTGGGGATAAGTGTTGAAAAATTTTTTGTTAATTTTGTTTGGCATTACTAGAGTATTTCATAAACACTAAATTAATCTCCTTACAACTCAGGTGTTCTAATATCCTGTATATAAGGTTTGACAGAACGAAAACAATGGAAGGGCCCAGGAAAGAATTTGACAAGTCATATTTTTGCAATTTTTCCACAATTTTAAATTTATAAAAACTTTATTTTTATCTAGTACATTTTAATTTTGCTTTTTAATTATTTGAACTTATTTAAATTCTTTTATTTCAATCCTATCTCTCTTGATTGCAACATGAATGTAGAGTTATATCTATTAAGTTTTGTTTTTATCTTGATTTTTCTCTTCGTAAATTTATTTATTAAATTTTCATGACATTTATAAATTTGTTTTTTTCTCTTGATATATCATATATATCCTATATAATCTTAATTTTACGAAATCAATAAAATAAATATTATGTCATCGCAATGGCATCAAAATGTGAAAATTAAATTTAAAAAAAAGAAATAAAAAAAAAAGATAGACCTATCTAATTTTCTCCTAGACCCATCGATTGTGATGCATGTTAATATGTACCTGTCCTTTTGTCTGTGTGTTAATATCTATCTTATACTCCTTATTAACGGAGTCCAGGTCGGACTTTTCCGACGTCCCGCTATCATCCTGAACGCCCGTACGTTCAGTAGTGTTGTCGACAGTGTTGGACTCGCTAGTACTATTCATACTATTTTTCTCTTCTTCACCATTTTTATTACTTTGCCCGTCTCGTTCGCCGTCTTGCTACAATCAGTGTTGTTCAGTATCTCAGTAGTGGTTAAAGCACCAGTTTTCAAGACTCTGAAGATACCAGAACTTCAAGGCTTTAATTCCACGAGTATTTTGATTGATTTATTTTGAACTTTAAATTTTATTCATTTTCAGAATATTATTTTAGCAGATAGCTAAATAGCATATATTTAAATTTATCAGTGAAGATCGAAAAATATTAGCGACAATCTATTCGACGATCAATTTATCGAGCTTTTATTTACATAAAAATTTAAGAATATTAAAATATCAAGAATTTGATAAGTATCTCTGTTTTGCCGAGCTTCAAAAACTTGCTAAAAAAATTCCACAAATTAGAGAAATTATACGACGGAAATTCTAAAAAAAAGGGGAACACGATGTAGATAGATATCGGCCGGTTGATGACAAGTAAGTTTGTAAGTTTTCGTTGATTAGAGTATTTCGAGTAATTCGTCGTGTTCGCGAGATTCATGCAAAAAACTACTAAATACTCTAAATCGGTCGACAGTGTTGGACTCGCTAGTACTATTCATACTATTTTTCTCTTCTTCACCATTTTTATTACTTTGCCCGTCTCGTTCGCCGTCTTGCTACAATCAGTGTTGTTCAGTATCTCAGTAGTGGTTAAAGCACCAGTTTTCAAGACTCTGAAGATACCAGAACTTCAAGGCTTTAATTCCACGAGTATTTTGATTGATTTATTTTGAACTTTAAATTTTATTCATTTTCAGAATATTATTTTAGCAGATAGCTAAATAGCATATATTTAAATTTATCAGTGAAGATCGAAAAATATTAGCGACAATCTATTCGACGATCAATTTATCGAGCTTTTATTTACATAAAAATTTAAGAATATTAAAATATCAAGAATTTGATAAGTATCTCTGTTTTGCCGAGCTTCAAAAACTTGCTAAAAAAATTCCACAAATTAGAGAAATTATACGACGGAAATTCTAAAAAAAAGGGGAACACGATGTAGATAGATATCGGCCGGTTGATGACAAGTAAGTTTGTAAGTTTTCGTTGATTAGAGTATTTCGAGTAATTCGTCGTGTTCGCGAGATTCATGCAAAAAACTACTAAATACTCTAAATCGGAAAAAAAAACACTGTCAATCAAGTAATAGTTCATGCAATGTAATTCGACACGATACCTTGACGAAAAAATTATTAATGTCTGAACTAATTGGCGCTCCCTTTGCACCACCAGTGGATTTAACACTGTTAGTCTTATAAGCCTACAAAATATCCCGTAATAATTATAAAAATGGTACAGATAAAGTATAGATAGATTTTAGTGAACTACTAATATTGCGATTCTATGTTTAACAGTTCCGAATAATTGGAGTTAACTGTTGGTGATTGTTAAATTACAATTAATCTATATTTCACAATTCCTTCCTATTATAATACCAAATAAGAAAATAAAAAAAACTAATCAATTAGCAAAAAGTATGATACTTACTTAGAAAAGTCAGTTATAAAATTTGCTGTTTTATAAATGTTTAATAAAATATATTATATATTGTGGCAATATCATAAAATAACTGGAATAATACAGTAAATAATTTGAAATTGTAAATGATTATTTTTCTTCTTGTACAGAAAATTTAATAAAACATAAATGAATAGAAAATTTTTATAATTATATATTTTCTCATAGTTCAATCTCAATGCATTTATTTTTACTTTATTCAAATATTTATTTTTTTAATGTTCTCTTTATTTTAATAATGAAATAAGAATTGTCTCCACAAATTATATGTATGTATTTTCTCAACATATGTATCATTTGGATGAAAGTGTAATTATAATGTAACTATATGTAATTACATTGATAATTAAGAAGACCGTTATCAATTTTTCAATTCTGTTTAAATATTGCTATAGATCTTCTTTAAAATTTTTTTTTCTCAATCAATACTCCCAAATATTTTCACATAGTTTTATGTTTGAAACATAATAAAGAGATTGTAAAATGCATATAGAATTTAAGACAGTATATTAACGCTTACCGGAGTGTCTCTGCGCTGCCTCTCAAGAATCACGGAGCGGGCGTTCCTCACCTTACTGGCGTCATTCGTAAATGCCGAAATAACAACCTAGAATGGACATCCGGAAGTATTTAAATATGAAAATCTATAATTGTATTTACATACAACAATTAACATAAAAATAGACTAACAATTAGTAAACAATCAAGGAACCAATACAAATTATGATTATTACAAATAAGATCCCGAATAAATTGACATACCTTGCCATCATAAGCATTCACAAAAGCCTTAGATACATGTTCCATTGCATCATTCAGTAACATATACGCCTCGTTGGCCATTGCCGAGGTGTTCCCATGAAGCTCCACGACTGCTGTAAGCGTCGACACCACCAGCCAATAGACATCTGTGCCAGAGTCATGTTTTTTCGCAGAGGACGCATTGTCAGCAATAGCATGAAGGAGTTGCATCTCCTCGACAAATTTGCGATCCTCCTCGATTTCCAAGTTTAGAAACTTTAATTTCTCTATGTTAGTTGGCTTCAGTTCGCCGAGAGCCGATTGGCCTAGCTATATTTAAAAGATATTATTCAGAATATAATTAATAAAAAATTAAAAAGCAAAACAAAATATAGATATAAAGTAAAAGTACTGATTACTAAATCTTCTCTTAAAAGACAGAAAGAGATAGAATGGAAACAAAAAAAGGAAGAAAAAGAGCAAAGAGACACTATAATATTATAGTAATATCAACATACACTTAAAAAAAAGTATATCTTTTATATAATGAAGATATTAATGCATACATATTTAATAATGAGATATTAAATTACTTAGGAATGTAACGTCTAAGAAATTTTTTTTAACTAATTCTTTATCTAGTTTAATACTTACAGCATCAACTCCATCGCTTAAGTTAATTCTGACCAAAGTATTATCATTGCTTCGTTCCTCTATTCTGCTTCTAATTGCTTGCCAGGTAGTCTCTTCCATTTCATCAACAATCAAAGAATATGTGATTTTGTTCTTGTCTTCCATAGGAGGTAACATCTCTATTCCATCACACGCTATAACAACCAATGCTTGGGGAATTGAAAACGGATCCCAAATAGCAATGTTATGATCCGCATCCTTCTGTAAAATCACAAATATTTAGTAAAAATCTTCAAATATAATGTAGATATAATATTCAAAACAAAAACTTTAGAGATCCCAAGTTTCAAAGATAGAGCTTTGAAGAATTTAGTTCTTTTTATTGATTCAATAAAACAAAAATTTAAAACTTTTCATAATTTAAATGTTTTACATATTTGCAAAGCTCTGCGACACATCTAAGAATTTATACAGTCAAACATTTCCATTAAAAGATTAAGGATATTTATGTACCTGTTTTCCAGTATAACCAAGAGCTGCGGATAAGACCTCCTTGAGACTGCTTTGCTCAATCTCTCCATTTACAATGAATTCTACACTATTAGGTGAATGAAGGACGACGAATTCACCACTGGCATAAACTAAAAGCAAATACAGGGATAAGACAGTCAAAATGTAAAAACAAGTGCATTAAATAAACAAACAAATTTTTAACAAATTTAGAAGTTTAGAATACTTGAAAAGTTCATGAAAAGATCTCACTGTAAAATAAGTTTGAATATATTTCTGGATGTTTATAGTTCTGAATGTTGGCTTGCTTTGGAAACGAATTGATTTTCGCAGCCAGAAATTCAATCACGGCAAACTTGAAACATTTCGATCGTTTTCAAAAAGTTATCTTAAAAGTAAAGAAAGAATTACCTGTGGCAAGGATGGCGAAAAGAAACGACAATTGTCGAAACATTGTTGTTCGAGAAAACTATTAAATTCGGAAGACACTCCCTTAAAGTCGATCAATTTCGGACATGATCATGTGACAACGTCAGGTCAGATCACATGTGACTATAGATATATAAGAATACATTGCCTTCCATGCTCACAGAATTAAATACGCGAATGCGCATGCGCTTGAAAGACAGAAATACACTATTGAGTTTTCTCTCTTTTTCTCTCGAATTATTTTATACCATGCACGAGTGTCGAGGCACATTCAACCGGCATGCTCCGACTCTATATATTCGCGCATCATGACTGTTGGTTATTCATCCATCTAGTATTATATCTGGGATGTGTAAATAGTCTGTGGATGTGTGACTCAGTGCGCGCGCGCGTACCACATGATCAGCAGTCGCGCACCTCGTGATTGCACGAGATATCGATTATTATTCGGCCCCTGCCCCTTGCCACGACTTTCGCGGTCGTAATTCCAGGAAGAGAACAAAACGAACGGGAGTCTTAGCGAACCGCATCTCTTGGACAGTCGTTAATATCGACGTGATCGTCCTTTCGGCACGTTATTTCCAACATCAAAGATGGGCTCGCTTTTCCGCAGCGAGGAAATGACATTATGTCAACTGTTCCTCCAAAGCGAAGCTGCTTACGCCTGCGTCTCCGAACTTGGCGAGCTCGGGCTGGTACAGTTTCGCGATGTAAGTATCATATTTCTCATTATATCGCTTCTTAGCTAATAATAATTTTCTCGCCATTTTCCGTAGCTTAAATTTTTTACTAGTTATCAAATATTAATCACCCAACACATTTTAAATTTCTATATGTCCATATTACGTTGATGGCCTTGTCATTATAACGTTAATTTATTTGTCTTATTTTAGTTAAATCCTGATGTCAATGCTTTCCAAAGAAAGTTTGTCAATGAGGTACGTCGTTGTGATGAGATGGAACGCAAACTGCGTTACCTGGAGAAGGAAATCAAGAAGGACGGCATTCCGATGCTGGATACCGGTGAAAATCCAGAGGCTCCACAGCCTCGAGAGATGATTGATCTGGAAGCTACTTTCGAGAAGCTAGAGAATGAATTGCGGGAAGTGAATCAGAATGCTGAAGCACTTAAACGCAATTTTTTGGAGCTAACTGAGCTCAAACATATTCTACGGAAGACTCAAGTTTTCTTCGATGAGGTAAGTCATTAAATTAGAGATTATAAATTTTTATTCTTTTGGTTTGATAATTTGGGCATATGAATCAGAGATGAATCTACTTTTCCAAAGTAGATTACGAACAGTCAAGAAATTTTGGAATCTATTTTATTGAAAAAGAAGGACATGTAATGAAAAATTATTTGAATTAAATTGTAAAAAGTGTGTTTTGTCTTTAATCTGTTGATTGTTCTGTACAATTTAAATGTAAATCTTGAGGGAAAACTTTTGCAATGGGCTGTAAATATTATCAATGGTGCTGCCACTTATCTTGAATGTCGAATTGTTGAACATATATAAGAACTTTTAGTAATCGATTACTTTATTTCAAAGCGCAATTTTTTACTTAGCTTCCAAGATGTTTATTACTAAGCAAGAAACTATTGTATTTGCTATGATTAAATTTTTACATGGAGAAATATTACAGAGAACATGCACAGAAATAATGTATTGTGAAAATTTATAGTCTTACACTCATCTGCATTACCTATTTACATTTTTGTAAGTTAATTAATGTATAAACTCTGCAAGAGTTAAACTTTTTTTTTATATATAAATTAGTAATTGTAATATATCCTTCAGAGAGAGAAAGAGAGAGAGAGAGATACAGAGTTTGAAATATGCATCATCTTAATGAGATTTCTTTGTGAATTTGCTTAATGTTTTTAAGTCTTTAGTGTACAATATATATTATTTATAAAAGAATTCGTTGTATTTTTTTATAAAAAATTGAAAAGCAAGGAAATCTTGTTAAAGTGACTACTACTTTATAATGCTGTTATTGAAGAGAATAATTATTAAATGAAGCATAAAAAAAGCCTGCGCTAAAAAAAAGCAATGAGTCTATGAGCTGGGCCAAATTATTTTCGATGCATGGAAAGCTAAAGAATATGCAAATTAGACATATACAAAAGCCTGTTTTTGCGCTTGTGCAACTTAAAGTGATTGCAACGAAGTTACTTGGAGAAAAAGGAAATCAGATAGGACTGTCTGTGATAGGCACAGTGGTCTCCACTTTCATGAGCTGTCAGACATCAGAATGTCCTTATTGTATGTTACTAATCATATATTGTTAAGTGATTTTAGGATTTATTAATGTGTTAGTGTTGCCAACTAACCAAAAGCCACCACTGCAAAGGACACAAGTCATTCGCTCCGCCCTATCTCCCTTTATGTTCCTTGAGAGTTGTTTAGTCCGGTCGCAATTTGTAAGAATTCATTGTTTTCAATTATACTTAATCAATTTTAGATTTAGATGCTGTAATATTAATCTCTTTCTAATCACATGTAGTATACAAGAATTTTTAGAGAAAAGTTTACCAATGTACATTATTGTTATCCTTGCATAAACATGTTTCAACACTTCTGCACATGAACTGAGAACTGTTATGGATTAGTTTGTAAATGTATTTTATTGAGAAAAGCCTTTATACTTTTAATATTCTAGATGTTTAATATTAATAATAGTTTAAAACCTAGTTTTTTTACATATTTAATATTTAATACATTTTTAGTATAGTTTTTAATATAGTCTAATTTTAATTTTTTTTTTTTCCATAGCAAATATTTGTTTTTTTTTTCTTTATTTTTCTAATGACGTCTTTTGTTCTTCTATTTTATCCTTCCTTTTTGTTCCATTATTATTTTATTTTTTTCCTTTTTGCATAAATGAAAATCTATCTTAATTCGACATCGAAAAATATGCATGTTTAGGAACAAACAATTGCACGTATTTAATGAAATATTTATATATAATTATTCAATAATTTAATATAAAATAATTTAATCATAGTTCTCTTTAATAATATCTGTTTAAACATTTTAAGTCACTTTCTGAGTAAAAAATAATTACATTTATATTATTAAATAAAATAATAATATACGATAAAAATGTTTTAATAATAATAATAAGTAATGAACGTAATAAATATTACTAATAGACGTAAGATGATGACATTTTGCCATCGAAAATAATGTAAGATCATCAAAGATTATTAAAACCAAGAAAAAGTCTTGTAAATGAGCTACTCGTGGGCGCGATATGCAGCATGATATCTCTGTATAATAAATAATAATAATAAATTAATATTTTTTGCATGAATTGCACTAACATTATGCGACTTTGTTAAATATATGTATTATATTATTTGAAGAATAATATTATAAGTATAATATTATACAATTAATTCTTGAAAAATCGCTCTTTTTGATTCGTACTTTGCATGGAACATATTTGTTCGAAAATCTTACATAGCTTCAAGTTTTAGAATGTTGATATTTTGGACCAAATTTCTATATAATTTATTTTATTCTAAAAAATTATTAAAATCCATGCAAGCTATATCAATTATTACTATTATTATACATATTATTTCTGATATTTTTGCAGATAAATTTTACATAATTATAGAATTTGAATTTAATATGAATTTAGAAATATTTACAAATATATTTTCGTGATCTTTATTGGATTGTTGAATGGAACTCTTTGCATGTTCAGCATGTGTGTATAGCATGTAGCAGGATTAAATGTTGTATATGTGATGTATATAGCAATAGTTTATTAGTTAATTAGCAATAGTTCAATTATTAATTATAGAAAAAAAAATGTAATTGCATGAATTTTATTCTATACGAATTCATGATGCTTATTTATTGAAGTAAATGAATCCATGAATCTTTTTTAATGTTGTACTTTTTAATTGTAAATAAGTATTCGATTTTTTAAATTCAAAAGCTTTAGGTTCTAAAAAAAATTTGCATATGTAGAAATCAAATTTATATTTTTTATTTGAAATTTATATAAAATGTGGAATATATAGTATGTTGAATATTTATAAAATTAGTTTCATATGAAATTTTCTTTTTCTTAAATTTTAAAAGATTTTTATTTATAAATCCTTATACTTTTAAAATATCGCAAAAATTCAGGAGTTAAATCTTCAAGCATTTTACTCCTGTATTCTCATATCACTAATTGTAAGCATCATGAAAATTTAGACTTATTATTAGACGCAGACCGAGCATTGAACTAAATTACGCGAATTAAAGAGAAGATCTCTTCTTCTTCATTTTCTACTTTGATATTGATAAGTTGAAGAAAATTTCAAAACATAAAAAAAAGAAAAGGGCAGAGAATCTGCTATGAGCAAGTGGAGCGGGAGATAGGGCGAAAGAGGGGTGACCTGTGTCTGTTGCCAGGCTGAGCATGGAGGTGTCGTGTCGCAGATGGCAGACCCCAGCCGTGAGGAAGAGCAAGTCACTTTGTTGGGTGAAGAGGGCCTCCGCGCCGGCGGCCAGGCTCTCAAACTCGGGTAATTAATGTGTGACGTACATCCGTTTAATGCAGAGCGTGGTGATTTCTAAAAGACTTCTCAAAGATAGATACTCTTCCATCAATTGATACTGAAATTTAAAATTTGCTTCAAATTATTTTAATAAACGCATCAAAAGTTTATAAATCTTTGCCTATAATTAAATTTTGCAGCATCTCTCTAAAGTACTTGAAAGAGAGAGAGAAGGAGAAATTAATTCTTTGATAAATCTTACTTCGCTTCTCATTTACTCGTTTAAAGTTTATGTCACAAAAGATCTTTTATCCTTTTAATCGTCGACCATTTTTTTTTCTTTTTTTCTCTGCTTAATGGTTGTTTTTTTTTTTTTATGTAATACTGAAGATAATTTAAAAAAGTAGATCGAAATGTTCGATATGTTATGTATCAAAATTGAATTTTAATAGTTATATATTTGATTTATTAGATATATATAAAAGAATTTCTCTTGCTTCTTAACTACCGCACTAGCTCTTATTTGCCTTTTTAGACTCTTTTTATATTTATAATTGTCTCTATCAAAAGTGTTTTAATGATACTCTTAATTGTCGAAAACCTTAATAATAACTTCTTAAAGTTTTTTTTATATTTTACTTCTATCTGAATTTTTAGGTTTTTTGACTTTTAAACGCTTGGTTCCCAAACAATTTTTGATTGGATCTCTCAAAAGTTTTTTTGATAATTAACAATTAGTGGTCTCTAGTGGTTTTTGAAAATAAAACATGTTTTATAAATCTTTTTATATAGATGTCTTTATTTAGATGTTAGATCTGTCTTATCCTCCCTTCTAATCCAAGTTTTCCGTTCCGTATCTCCACGCTCTGCATTTTTTTAATCTCCACGTGACCGAGAATCATCTTTAGTACGTCATTGCATGCCCACAATTTGTGTTGCAAAATACACACTGCTGCACTTGGCAGTGGCGCTCCGTCACTAATGTCAATCTTTGGATTGTCGAATATATATATCCAGATTTTTAAATTAATTTCCAGATTTTTCTTTAACAATTTTTCTTAACAAATATTTTTATCTTTATTTATTTAAACTTAAAAATGGTGGAACAATAGCGCAGTTGTGAAGATGTTAAGAATACGAAAGTTAAAAGATTAACAAATACAAGGAGTAAAAGCGTGAATGAAAATGATACAAAAGTGTTAGGAATACAAAGATTTGATTGCAACGAAAGAAGATGACAATGTCAAGAAAAAAATTTAGATTAGAGGAAAAAAATACTGTAGAAAAATTTAGAATAGAGAGGATTTCGATTGTATATATTATAGTAGGTATGTAGAAGAGAGAGAGAGGGTAGATCCACTATAGTAGAGACATCCTACGTCAGTGTATTCTGTGGTTACAGCACCTATATACTACGGCAGACACCTTAGGAGCGCATTATAGGAACCCGCTCAGGCAAGCTGTTATCAACCGTTATTTACGAATCTGTTTGCGAAATTGTTTGCCTCGATGTTGTTGCCTAATGTTTATCCAAGCCTTATCGCTCGATAAGCAAAGCCACATCCTTCTTGCGTTGCTGGAGCATCCTTCATGAAGACTATTTCGGACTTTTTCATTCAATGAAGAAGTCCTTTGCTCTTTGAATGTCTTTTACAATTTTAAGAAACTTTAATATTCTTATCATTTCATCTTTCCTCTATCCCAATTTTTAAGTCTCGCTATATTTCCGTTAGAATGTAATGTAGACTTCTAAAATCTTAAATTTTCAGTTTCTTGTATTTTATAGAGATCCTTATTTATCGCTAAATTTTTGATCCGTTGGATTCTAGGTCCATGGATTTTTAATTACTTTTCCTTAGTAATAATAATCAATATAATATTGAATTTCCAACTAGAAATCTAGATTTTTGATATTGTCTAAATAATCATCTTTGTATCATCCTTAAACATGTCCAGTATTTATTTTATGGTTTTTACATTCATCAAGCTTCCAATAATAATTGATAATAAGATTTTTTACGTTTTTCGTCTTCGGGGATGCCTCTGCAATTAAAAATACATTTGAAAGACAGACGCGACTGTCCGCTTTTTTATGAATAACCATCCATTGTTCACTGATCGATTGCAAAAAATGGGAGAAAATCAACGAGAAATTGCGCCGATCACAATAACAGTTGATACAGTTTGATACGGTTTGTCACCCGTTTTTAATACCGCTAAACTAGAAAAATTCAAACTGTATCGAGTATCTTCAATCTAAACGATCGAGATCCGATGTTCATCTTTCGGTCCCGACACTCGCGCGACAAAATTTTTGTAATAATTTCTCGTCGTAGTGATACAACGTTGTAAATAACAATAAATGATGATGGTGTGGCCATGGGTATGTATAATAATGTTCTCACTTCTTAACAAATGAATTTTTAACAATGTTTGTATGTATGCGTTCTTTTAAGCATATCGCTTACTCGCATGCTTTTGCACTTGTTATTCTTTGTTACGTTAATTAAGATCAGTATGAATTATTAAATCGTTAAGGACGCCTTATTGGATTTCTGTTTTAGAATTGGCGATTTCTTGAAAAACTTGAAAGATTGAAGAAATAAAATATTTAAGCGCTTGAATTTTTTAATATCAAAGATTTAAAATTCTAAAATATGATATACAAATTTTGAAAGATGTAGTCATAAAATTTAAATTAGAACATTTTAATATCAATATTTTCATGGACTTTTATACTTCGAAAAGTTCGGAGCGATTAGAATTTTGTATAAAATGAGAAATTCGAAATTTTTTCTAGTTTCTGAAAATAGAAATTTCAAAGATTTTCTAATATTTGAATTTTGTCTAAACACTATAACCAACAGAAACCAAGAGAACCTCTTTAACGATCTAATGGCTTGGCTTGTGATGTGCTTGATTTAAATAAATTGTTTCTATTTCTTATTTTGCATCGCGTCTGCCAATGATGATCTTAACTTGATTAACTTCCAATTAATTGGGCAAAATGATGAAAATCAGATAAATTTAATAACAATATCAATTCTAAAACGATTCGATTGATTGTTTTTTCGGGGAAGTTTTTATAATATGTATTAAAGATCACTAGACATAAAATAATAATGGCTTATAAATTTTTTTCAGATTGTTTAACGAATAAGAATATTGCCACGTACCTTGTTCCTAGTATTTATCTGAGCTGAGATTCAATGTTTTATCATTGTTTAAAGTATCCAGTAGACACGACTGATTAATTAAGATCAAGCAAACTCTAAAAATTAGATTAAACTCCCGTTTAAGGGGAGACAACTACACAATTTTTTTTATCTTACTAATGTAAATTATATAAACATCTATCGCACGGACGTGCCTCTGATTTATCTTTAATTATCATTCTGAGCAATTATTTAACATTTATTATTATCAATCGTTATCGTTATCACATACGTTTTGAAAATTTATATTTATCTATAGCATGACACGAACTTGAGATATATCGGCACAATAAGTGGTTTTTGATTATTTTGAACTGTCTCTAAAACTGCATTTTACAATGTAATTTCTAGATAAGATTTAAAATTAGGAATTCTGTAAGGATTCAATTAAAAGAGGATAAAGAAATTGAAAATATTCAAAGAAGCTCGAAAAATCGAGACATTTAAAAATTCTTACAAAACTAAATTACATTTTTTATTACCGTATTAGTTTTTGAGAGATTTTGATCGAAAGTATGATTGACATTTAAATTTCGGATAAAGAAAAGCAGCTCGATGAGATAATAACATGATACTACCACATTTCTTGATTTAAAAAAAAAAATTAATATGAAAAATTTACAAAGTTCAAATATAAATGCTCTTGTAACTTTATGTAGTGTATTTCTATATATAATACCGCTATTGTGTTTCATTATACATTTATCAAATAATTGTAAATTTTTATCACAAAATTACATAAGTAATTATCCCATTATTACGTAACAAAAAGAATTATTTTGGTAATTTTCGTAAAATTATTAAATTACGCAGATCAATTCTATCATCAAATTTTCATTCCTCTTATGAACATCAGCTGTGTGGAAAATCTTGAAATTACTTACAATTATTTGTAAGTGATCTTGTTTGTGTGAAACGTCGCGTTAACGAGAAATATCTCAAGTTTGTCCAAGACGATTAAGATAAACGAGACAGGAAACAAAATCCATGCAAACGAAAGACAGCGTGGCGAGTTGGAGCATTGTGGTCGTTTCTGGTGTGGCTAATGTGGTTGTGTCTTGTCTGTTGTGTCGTCAGCAAGAGCACGCGGGCTTGAACCCCACCGAGTCCATGACACGTGCGTTGATTAGCGATGATAATATCGCCCGCCAGTCCGCCCTCGGCCCTGTCCAGTTGGGGTACGTACTCCCATTACTAATTACTCCCTTCATCCTGTCGCGCTAGATCCCAGGAATATCCGAAGAGTCGAATAAGTCCAGAATTTACTAGAAAATTTACGAAATGTTATATATATATATAAAACACGATTTAAAAATGCAACAACAAAGGAAACGCAGAAATTCTACCACCTCTAGATCATTTATCTAATGTAGAACTTTAAAAATTTTATACTTTATTGTTTTCTTAAGGAATTTTTTTTTTTTATTTTCCAAAGAATTTCAAGATTGTTGGATTTTTGAAATTGCATATAATTCGATAACTTAATAAAGAAGTGTCTTCTACGAATTTCAATATATTCTCACAAGAAAATTGTCAGAGCCATGAAGATTTAAATGCTCAGAATTTTTGATTCTTTGGAAATACTTGGAATCTTACTACTCCGATATTTTAATTCCTTAGAATCCTAGAATTTTGTATTTTCAGTATTTTTGGATCCTTAGAGGTTCAAAAGTTTTATAAAATTTGAAATTTTGATATATTGTATCGAATTTTAAGATTCGCATGCAATCCCATATTTAACTCTAAATGTGGTTTTATTCATTCTGAATTTTATTTTTTCTCATGAGAAGATTACATTACCATAGACCTTTCAGGATTTAAAGATCTCAAGACTTAGAGAAATGCACTGGACAATGTTAAAGAAATATAAGAGCTTGCTGTAGACTTTATATTTTTATTAGGTTGTATATAAAATCTTTTAATTTCTTCTTTAATTGAAACAGGCAACTTAAGCAAAATCAAATTACATGTTTGCGATAATAATTTTAATTTTATTTTAATGAAATTTTCTTAAATTAAAATAGTTTAAGATTTGCAATTTAATTATATTGGCTAAAAATTGGTTTTAAAAATTAAAAAGATTAAAAACCGCGAAAAAAATTTGACACACCGATCTAATAAAAATATATTGACAAGCAAATTCTATGCGTACTTGACATAATTATAATCCGATGTATGACCATACCCCGATTTGTTCCTGTGACACACTTATGCTATTTGTTGGGTTTGTCGTTCAAAGAATGTTTCAAGGAGGATCATTGACAGAAGTGCTCCAAGGTATGTAAAAAAACAAAAAAAAGATAAAGGGAGACGGACCATGGCTACTGAAATCATCATTTTTCCATTTGGCTAGCAATTCCACATAGAAAATCCGCACGAGTCGTTGACCGATACAGATTGAAGATTTTCATTATAACGCCATAAAAATGGTCATCACGACGCTTATTCGAATCACTCGAAGAAACCGTAATCGTGACGAGTTTTACGCAATTTGCATATAGACACTCTAAGTATCTGATCTTTAATCGGTCCTTATTGTTTATTAATACCATGTTTGTGTGTCATTACGCGAGCAGTTTCGTCGCGGGAGTCATCCTGAGAGAACGCATCCCCGCGTTCGAGCGTATGCTATGGCGGGCGTGCCGCGGAAATGTCTTTCTGCGCCAGGCGGAAATCGAAACTCCTTTAGAAGATCCATCGACGGTGAGTGTACAACTTGAAAATGAAGCTGCATCTGAAACTTAATCATTATTATATTATCGTAGTTAATTTATCGCGAATCTTGCGATTTAATCGAAGAGATCTGAATAACAATTTAGTAATGATGTATTTAGGGGGACCAGGTGTACAAGTCGGTCTTCATCATCTTCTTCCAAGGAGATCAACTGAAAACTCGTGTAAAAAAGATCTGTGAAGGTTTCAGAGCGACCCTGTATCCCTGTCCAGAAGCACCAGCTGACCGTAGGGAGATGGCAATGGGAGTCATGACTCGCATCGAAGACTTGAACACTGTGAGTATATCATACTTTTATGTTTATATAATATATTATAATATATAGTATTATAATATACTGTACTTTCTCTCTACACGTTTCGCATGTGCGTGTGTATGTGTATAACTGAAATAAAAAATATAAAAAAATTTATAATCATTTAATTTACCGGTTTTTAATTGAGCAATGCTGTTCTCCAGGTCCTTGGACAGACACAGGATCATCGTCATCGCGTCCTTGTAGCTGCCGCAAAGAATATCAAGAACTGGTTCGTCAAAGTCCGCAAGATCAAAGCGATTTATCATACTCTGAATCTTTTCAATCTCGACGTCACTCAAAAATGCCTGATCGCAGAATGCTGGGTGCCCGTCCTGGATATCGAGACTATCCAGCTAGCGTTAAGACGCGGAACGGTAAGAAATGCGATCTTTATTATTTCTTCAATTTCTTATCGTAAAACGAAAGACCAACCCATATTTTATGTTATTTAGGAACGTAGCGGAAGTTCTGTACCTCCTATTTTGAATCGCATGGAGACTTTCGAAGATCCGCCGACGTATAATCGCACAAACAAGTTTACGAAAGGCTTCCAGGCATTGATCGATGCCTACGGGGTCGCCTCTTATCGCGAGATGAACCCTGCGCCCTATACCATTATCACATTTCCGTTTTTGTTCGCGATAATGTTCGGCGACACCGGTCATGGCCTCATCATGTTTTTGTTCGGCGGTTGGATGGTACTGAAAGAGAAACCGCTAGCGGCTAAGAAGAGCGACAACGAGATTTGGAACATATTTTTCGGTGGTCGTTATATCATTTTTCTCATGGGCCTGTTTTCTATGTATACCGGTCTCATCTACAATGACGTGTTCTCCAAATCGCTCAACATTTTCGGCTCTAACTGGTTGATCAATTACAATTATAGTACTATCCACAGCAATAAGGATCTACAGCTAAATCCCAGTTCTGATGATTATATCGATTATCCCTATCCATTCGGCTTGGATCCGGTATGGCAGCTGGCGGAGAATAAGATCATCTTCCAAAACTCATACAAAATGAAGATCTCTATCATCTTTGGAGTAATACACATGCTATTTGGCGTGCTAGTAGGACTGTGGAATCACATGTATTTTAAGAAGCGTAACAACATCACTTGCGAATTTGTGCCGCAGGTGATTTTTCTCATGGCGCTGTTCTTCTACATGGTGTTGCTTATGTTCATCAAATGGATCAAATATGGTCCGAAGAACGATCTGATCGAGGGACCCGGTTGTGCACCTTCGGTCCTCATTACTTTTATTAACATGGTCCTATTCAAACCTGCCGCCAAAGTTGGCCTATGCGAGCCGTACATGTACGGCGGTCAAGGCGGTCTGCAAAAGTTTTTGGTGATCGTAGCTTTGCTCTGCGTGCCATGGATGCTGCTGGCGAAGCCAATTTTGTTGATGCGCAATCGCAAAAAACAACATTATCAACTCAACAATCATGGCGCCGAGAATGGCGACGTGGAAGCTAGCATGGGAACCTTACAACAGAGCGGAGGCGTTACCCAGAACGGCGGCCATAAGGAGGAGGAAGAGAACATGATGGAAGTGTTTATCCACCAAGGTATTCACACCATCGAGTATGTTCTCGGTAGCGTGTCGCATACCGCGTCCTACCTGCGTCTCTGGGCCTTGTCTCTGGCCCATGCCCAGTTGTCCGAGGTGTTATGGAACATGGTAATGAGAAATGGTTTAGCGAGAGAGGGCTGGGATGGCGGCATCATCCTCTATGCCGTCTTCGCCTTTTGGGCTGTGCTTACTGTGGGCATCCTTGTACTCATGGAAGGCCTTTCAGCGTTTCTGCATACACTTCGTTTACATTGGTAAGATTTCGTTCGCGAAAGGTTTCTAATAGTTCTCTCTTTTTATTCTTCTTTTTTATAAGCTTGTTCTTATATTACATTATTATTGTGTAGATAAATATTGAATAATTTATATTTTATATATAATGTTATTAATTATTAATTATTTGTTAAATATTTAATAAATATATGTTATTTTTATATAAACTAGTTAATTAGTAATAATGTTTATTGATGAATCTATACTAATTTATTTGTGACTCTTATTTTTTATCTTCTAGGGTGGAGTTCCAGAGCAAGTTCTATGCTGGCTTAGGCTACAGTTTCCAACCGTTCTCCTTTGAAATCATCCTCGATGCCGCACAGACCACTACTGAGGATTAAAATAATTAGTATTATTAATTAACAGTTGCCGTTGACTATTATTGCTAGTATGAACGTAGAACGTCGCGAATTCAGTAGCTACTTCTTCAGACAAGTCAGTTATGAGCAATTAATGAGCCTCTTATGAATAAAATATATATGTAGAATCAATTAACCTATAATTGATCAGAATACGAAAATTATTTTTTTCATCTTGTTTGTTTAACCGTAAACAAACGTAGCATCTGAAAAAAAACTACATTTATAGCACACATTAAGTCATGACAAGAGATTATACTCGTGATATTATAAGTTTCTTCCTCGTTGATCGATAAATTATATATATATTTAAATTCGAATGCTAATTTTTTTTTCTTTGTCGTCGTCTAATATATAAAATCCTGCATGTATTCTTACATACAAGCGATATGGAATTCTTACACATTGTAGAATCTATAGATCTGAAAAACAAATGTACGTCACGTAGGCGACCGATCAATGTTATTTCATATATCTATATATAATAAAGAATGTGGCATACCGAAGGGTGTTTCATGAAAATTTGGTGATTGTGCCATGTTACGACTTAGCGTACTCGGCAAGGCGACTTGTACGCGATTTCTCGAGATTAATTTTGCTCTTTAAGATCTGATAAACTTTTCCAAATCTTTACCTTCATGTTCCTTTTAGCACCAAACATGACCGCTTGATTCTCAATTCGCGCGATGTAACACATTAGTTGAAATTAAATTGCAATTATTAAATTTTTTTATGTTTGTAAGAAACGTTATTATTTTTCAAAAAAATTTATATTTTTGAAAAGAAATTTCTATAATTCTTTGCGCAAATCAAATTTGTAACAAACACTATTTTAAAATTATCATTAATTTAATATATTATTATAATAAAACAAGACGCGTCTATTGTTTAGAGAAATAATTAATAAAATTTAATAAGAAACTACATTAAAAAGAAAATCTCTTGATACATATGTGGGAATGTCACTGTTAGTCTTATAACTCTTTCAACCATCAAAATTTACTCCGATATCGCATCTTTATCAAATTTTCTTTTCCGGCTTCTTTCAAACCTCTTTTGTTAGATTAATTATGTGTGATACATAATGATGTCTACGATTATAATTTTTCTTGCGACGAATTCAACAATCTACGACTCTAATAAGTTATTCAAGGTCATTGGACATTGCATATTTGGTCATGACAAAAGTCCATTCTACACGCAAAAGTCATTAACAGTTAGTTCCTGTGCTAAAGATAGGATAAGAACAAAAACATGTTTGCCTCTCCTAGCAATTGTAATTATTACAAATTTCTCGAAAATTGATTACAGGAACTTTTTATTTAAATTTTAAATTATATATAAATTATTATTTTACTTAAGAGAAATAATTAGTGTAATCAAACAATATGATTTACTATTAGGAATTTTATAATATTGAAACCTTAGATTACATATCTCTTTTCTTAGAAGATATCCCTCTGCAAAGAATTGCTGCACATGTGTGCGCACAAAGCTAGCTAAGAATAACAAAATATTTATTTTCTGAGAATGGGATATTATAGACTCATTCGACTAAGCAAGAACACGATAAAAAAGGCGGAAAAGGGACCAATAATCTAACGTATATTCTTATCTTACTTAACTTCTTTACAAGATATACAGGATGTTTCACGCGTCACTATTTTTAATAATGTTTTTTCTGTTATATATATATATATATATAAGTGCAATTTATTTGTAAATGCATAAAATGTAAGAAAGTAAAGCCAATAGATACATTGCTTATATTTTTCAATATTTCTTTGCGAGTCATTCCGAATGATTCAATATTGTAAAAGCAGTGTTCAAGGTCGTATTATTTTTCATACTCGCGACGATGTAATTGTTTTTACTGTCATTATAAGCACCAGAAGCGAGTTGATAATATATAATATCGAAAATATTTCGTCGATTAATCGCAATTCTTTTATATAGTTTATAGTATTCATATAGTATACTGGAAGAATATTTCAAAATTACACGGATGTCTTTTTAATGATAGATTCTCTAATCAGATTGGAGACGATTTTTCTATAGCGAAAATATTGAGTCATTAATAATTGTTGAGTTATAAACAATTAAAAAAGAAAAACTTTCCACAAATTAAATCTTATAGAATCATAAGATTAGCAAAACTATATTCTTCGGTTAATTACAGGTAGAGTTTATTTTAATAAAATTTTAATTTGATGCTTACTTACAAAGATATACCTATAATGGAAAAAATTGGATACTTAAAGTAAAATAAACAATCTCTTTTAACATTTTCACAAACAATAAGGAAAAATCGATTTTTGTAATTGGTCAGAAAATCTGCTATTAATAGGACATTCGGTAGCATTTTATAGTATATATTATAGATTATGTACACATGTATATATATTTTATTCCAGATTGCGATCCCCGATGTGATGGAGGCTGCGAAGGACGCGGATATACTTATATTCGTTGTTCCGCATCAGTTCATCCGAAGGATATGCAGCACGTTGCGGGGAAAAATCAAACCTACCGCTGTCGGCCTGTCTTTGATTAAGGTACATTTTGATCTTTTCTCTACAGCTTAGATCATTCAAGGTTCAAATCAAATTATCTATTCAATATTAAATTTTAAATCGTATCCTATAATGCGTTTTTTAAAAAATATTTTTGCAAATAATTATATTTGCAAGTGAGATATATAAATATCGTGTTTTTTTAAGAACATTATAGCAGTATGTAATTTATATATCTATTAATCTAATCATACAAATCTGGAACATTGTTGGCAGGGTTTTGACAAGAAAGACGGTGGCGGCATTGAACTTATTTCTCACATAATTTCAAGACAACTGCAAATTCCAGTCTCGGTCCTGATGGGCGCCAATTTGGCTTCTGAGGTAGCCGACGAGATGTTTTGCGAAACCACGATTGGTAAGAGATTAAAATCTAAATAACAATTCAAGAGATAACAATTTAATTACAGTAGTGATTAATACAGTTCTCCAATTGAATGAAAGATATAAATTATATGTTATAAAATCACGAAAGACTTTATAAGTCATAATAATAATTTGTATTTTTCAAGAATATAGATTTAACAGTTCGGAAATAAACTTTTCAATCTGGATTATAATTTGTAGGATGTAAGGACAAGACGATGGCGCCGTTACTTCGCGACTTAATCCAGACATCGTACTTTAGGGTGGTGATCGTCGAGGACACAGATTCTGTAGAGTGTTGCGGCGCGCTAAAGGTGAAATCGATTGTCTTCAATCTCATTGATTTAATTTTTATCCTAAAATGGCTCTTTTAAATTGTAGTATAATAAGACTTAGACCTTAACGGTGCATATATTAATGTCTTATAGAATATAGTTGCCTGTGGCGCTGGCTTTGTCGACGGGCTCGATCTAGGTGATAATACGAAGGCCGCGGTGATCAGGCTGGGCCTTATGGAAATCATCAAATTCGTCGATGTGTTCTATCCGGGCGGGAAATTGGCGACCTTCTTCGAAAGTTGTGGAGTAGCCGATCTGATCACGACATGCTATGGCGGACGCAATAGAAAGGTTTCAGAGGCCTTTGTCAAGACCGGCAAGGTCGGCATTATAACGTATTCACATATATATGAGAGAGAGTTTTAATAATCTTATAAATTCTTAAATAACAATTAATCGTGCGTTTGCAGTCTATTGAGACGCTGGAAAAAGAGATGTTGAATGGACAGAAGCTTCAGGGGCCATTCACTGCCGAAGAAGTCAACTACATGCTGAAATCGAAGAACATGGAGGACAGGTTTCCGTTGTTCACGGCAATTCATCGTATTTGCATCGGTGAGCTAAAACCAACGGATTTAATCGACTGCATACGTAGCCATCCGGAACACATGTAAGCTTACAATAGTTATCATAGTATTAAAAATGTGGTTTACGGATTTAAATATAAAACTAATTTAAATACACAGTTAGTCTGCGCACAGAGCTATAGATATCTCAACTTTTACCGAGAATAATCTAGCTTTTAAGAAGCTCAAAATCTTATCAATCGAAACTTTTCCAAGTAAACTATTTAGAATTTTAAGTCTAATTTTGCGATTTTGGACAGTAATACTATAAATTGAACTCCGTTTGTTGATAAAATAATTCAATAAATTAATAGTAATTTAAAATAGTTAACATATAAAGACTCCATGTGGAATCGATTATGGTACACTCGGATTGGTTCTGATTATATTATCTGATTGCAAAGTTTTACAAATCTCTTTGTTCGTGAAGTTTTCATGACTTCAAGATTTCATGGATCTATATAATTTTGAGAATTCTACGTTTAAAGGACTTTAAAACTGTCTGAAATCAGAATTTTATCAAGAACTTTAAGACATTTCAATTAATGAACTATTTTCCATTTTAAAGATGGGTTTTAAAGATTATTTAAAGGTTTTGAAGATTATTTTCCCAAAAATCTTAGTGTGAGTTACTACAACACTAGTTTCTTACACAGACACAGATTCAAAAGTTCTATAAATAGATTTGAAAAAGTTGAACAACTTAGTTAATAAAATTCCGTATCGCGTTGAGCGCGATAGATAAATTGTTATGATGAATATTTGTATATAACATATATTTTATCAAGACAGAGATTTTATTCAGAGTTTTAATCGAATAGATGAACTAATAATAGATCTATAGGTCCTTGATCGTTGATTGTTACATGCGTTATCGACTAATCAATCCCATTATGTAAAACAAGACAGAAAACAAATATAATTAATTATTTGTTGACAGAAAAATAAAACTCAGCTCTTTTCTGTCCCTCGTTTCCTTGAAGTCTCAAAGATAGTGTCTTTTCTTTTTTTGATTTACTATTACAAACTCAAGGTTCTTCTTAATATTTTTTTAACCAATTAATACAAGGCATTACGAAAACACTTGGATAAGTTTCACGAATACGTTCTTTGTATCGAAACGACAGATGATAAAATGTATATGTTCGGAAATGGACTTCTTGTCATTTTTCGAACTTGTCCACCTGTACATTAGTAATGCTCTATGTACAATCCTCATCTCTTGATTAGCTGATGCGAAAGATATTTCGTCCGGATTGATGATAAATATCATGGCAACTGTGTCGGCCTGAAGGGGTTAATTCGCATTCGCTCCATATTTAGGGACGAAGACGCCTTGACGACGCTCAAGTCTAAATCCAAGTGCCATCTTTGAAGATCCTCCCAACGTCGATTCTTGCGCGAAGACTCGTCGCATCATTGAAAAAACAACATAATATTCGAAAGCGTGATGCTATAGTTAAATGATTTATTGAGTTCGATTATCAATTATTAAATTACAGAAAAGCTTTAATCATCAAGCTAAAACGCAATCAAGATAAGTTGATTTTTGTTGCAATATTAATAGTTGGCATAATCGCGTTGACACAGCAATTCTATTCATTATTTGTTTTTTATATTTTTTATTGTTTATAGAGAAATATGTTACTGAATTTGAAATTTTCTTTTTCTTTCTTTTCGAAAAACTTGAAGAAAAATGTTGTCGATCAAACAACGAATGAAATGAGAATAAATTGGAGAAGGTTTTGCAATGCACTCTCGAATGATGTTCGATGCAATTGTGATAGTTTATAAACTTGTGAATCTGTAAACTATAATAATTTATGGATTATTGAATTATATTTCTCGTTATTTAATATTATCAGTTTTTTTTTTTTGCGCATAATAAAGCATTTTTCAAGGTTTTATCTTATAAAGAAAAGTGTGGATTTTCCCAAAGGAAAAAAAGTTTCCTAAAGGAATCTCTTGTTAATGGTTATAACAAATATCGATGATATTTTTCCGTTATAAAAATCGTATAATATTCCGTATAATGTTTTAAACAAAATACGTAATATAAAGTGTCTTAATTGAAATCATCATTAGATATGTAATCGAAAATTATTTTAACAAGAAATCAAGCAATTTGTAAATATTTGAATAGTTCGCTTTAAACTACTACGACAATATTTCCAAAACCTACGAAAATATTTCCTGATCTTCAATGTTAGTCTTATAACTCTTTCAACCATCAAATAATAATTCTAATTTCAATAATAATTTTAATTTTAATAATAAAACAATTTTGAAATCTTCCAAAACAATTTGAATTCACGAGATTCTCGCTTCCAGCTTGGACTCTCCCCCCACCTGGCTTGATACATTCTTATCAGCCCTGTCTTCGATTGGCGTGCGCGTCGCTCGGTTTGTCCCTCGCCCTCGCCGTTTCTGGACCTCGATTCCTCGGTAGTCACTCGTCGGCGTTCAGGCGAAGCGGTTCTTGTGTCTCGTCCTCGGTCGGCTTCCTCTTCTTGTCATCCGCATCAAAGAACGGTGTCCTTGAGCGCGTCATGGCATCCGTATGCATAATCGGTTCTGGTAACTGGTGAGTCTGGAAAACGAGAGCGGATTTCATGGAAACGTGAATATATTGCGAAAGAATGTCGACGCGCGCGATGGATGGCAATCGATTCACACGTGCCCTCTCACATTGGCGTATATTTGTTTACCATGCGCGTGCTCCGATTCGTATCGTGTTCTCCGATGACAAAGTGGTTTATTCTACACGACAGTGTAGAATAAAATCTGCGTTATGCAACAAATAATTGACGCGTATTCAGAAATCACGAATATTAATTATACTATGAGTAATACTAAAATTACGATGTCAAAATGGGATAAATGTTGATAATCGATTAAAAGTTGAAGTCATCTTTTTTAGCGAGTATGATCTCTTTTTTTCTATTTATGCAAATATTTAAGAAAATAATTAAGTATATTATTGCGATATNNTTATTTAATTTTTTTATAATAATATATATTTGAATATATATTGCGGATTATTTTTATCTCAACGTCGCTTATTTCTTTCGATATAAACATTTCTTCAATTATTGACTCATCCTACAGAATTGATTAAAATACTAATCACAATTGTGTAAATTTGCAGGGGCTCGGCTATCGCAAAGATAGTCGGCGCGAATGCGAAAAAGCAGAGTAGCTTCGACGATCGCGTCACCATGTATGTTTACGAGGAAATTATCAATGGGAAGAAGTTAACAGAGATCATTAACGAGACACATGAGAATGTCAAATATCTTCCGGGACATAAAATTCCTGAAAATGTGGTAAGATTACACCTCTCAATTTATATTAATTGATGTATCTTTTAAGATGAGCCTCTCTCTTTCTCTTTTTTCTCTATATATCTGTTCGAGTGTTTTTATTTTTATTACACATTTGTTTCATTATATTTATATGTTATTTTTATTAAAATACATTTCTTTATTTTTATTTCCTAAACAAAGAAAGATTTATTTTATATTTTCTCTTTAAATATTTACATATCTTTAAGTTGAGTTATTTGTTAACTTTCAGATTCTTGAAATTTTAGATTTTTCGCAAATTTTCAATATATTTCCACTATAAAATTTTGTTATATGGAAATTCCAAGTATAAGATTGCTAAGAATTATATTATTCTCTCTCGTGTTTTTAATTTCTGATGTTTCTCAAATAAAAGAAGAACCGAATATGCTTGATTCCAATAATCATAGATTCGGATTCAGTTAACGATATGAATGAGCGATCTTGAACTTTAGTCAGTACTTCGAACTTTGATCGCGATTGAGATAATTTACTCCGATATCGCATCTTTATCAAATTTTCTTTTCCGGCTTCTTTCAAACCTCTTTTGTTAGATTAATTATGTGTGATACATAATGATGTCTACGATTATAATTTTTCTTGCGACGAATTCAACAATCTACGACTCTAATAAGTTATTCAAGGTCATTGGACATTGCATATTCGGTCATGACAAAAGTCCATTCTACACGCAAAAGTCATTAACAGTTAGTTCCTGTGCTAAAGATAGGATAAGAACAAAAACATGTTTGCCTCTCCTAGCAATTGTAATTATTACAAATTTCTCGAAAATTGATTACAGGAACTTTTTATTTAAATTTTAAATTATATATAAATTATTATTTTAC